ACACCGAACTCGTTGTTTCCTTCTATTTAACTCAGAATACTTCCGCTGATAATTTGAATCCTTTGCGCGTTCTACTAAAATTTACATACTCTGGCATTGGCAGTTCCAGGGGAAAGTAAGGCTTGACAGGAAAGATAGTTTAAACTTAAAATAAATGTTAGTTAAATAAATATAAACCTACAAATATGCAACTCTATAACACATCGCCGTTACCGGCGTACAATACTACGCGGCACCCGCAATCTGACTTCACGGCCATCGCGCACACGTAGCTTCCGTCGAGACCTCGATCAAAATTTGCAGAGGAAACAAAGCCAACGCGGTAGAGATTCGACTAACTTGTCAATGGAAATTTTCCGTTTCAGTACTTCTTGTCACTTTCTTCACTATCAATAGTGGTTTTCTGGATCTAGATCCATATTACAGATTCGCCATTCATTAATTGATTGATGATTGAGAAGCATTGTCATTACAATGAAAAATTTCTTTTATATCATCTTCATTTATTACCACTTCTCCAAATTTCTTTATAATGTCTGTTAATTGGAAAATTTCAGCTTTCTTTTGCGATATCCGAAAACTTTTAAAATTAGCGGCTGTCATCATCAAATTTAGCTATCCTTCACTGTACATATTTGGCAATGCATCATGAGCTTGGCAACTAACGACAAGTTGTTCTGTTAAATATTATCTCTTTTCTATCGTGCATTGAGTCAATTAAGCCTGAATTGTATTCGTTATTTATTATACTTATGTCTATTTCTTGTATATGCTTAAGGCTTATAAGAGTTCTGAATTAATAAATTCCCACATAAACTTAAGCCTTATTGAGGGCCGGCACTACATATCTTACCACCGCATGCAGTCTCTGTGGGTCCTATTATTCTGAGACTCGGCGCGACCATACGAGCCCTGGTGCTGGTTCTGGGTTTATGTGAATAACAAATCAGTTATTCTTAATTCAAATAGCCCTAAATGTAATCTTTGGGTCTATTAGTTCATCAACAAAATCTATTTTTAGCATATGAAAAGAAATATTTGGTAAATTTTTCCTTGTCAACACTTTTTAGCAAATTTAACTTAAATCTGTAATTATGGCCAAGCATAATGCCAACATAAAGGGTTACCATACTCCGATATTATTCAATTACTAACATTAAAAAAAATTGTTTATGCATCACTATATGAGTCATTATTCAAGTTGTCATGTTTTGGTAAACGTGGTGAAAAAAAAAAGTATAATAAATAATGATTCGCCAGGTTGGCATCAGATCAATGATGTATCTGTGTGGAATGTTTCGGTTTGAGGAATGAAAGACACACACAGACTCTTCCTTTTATTATATATGGAGATGAAGTTTTAATATTGTATTTAAGTTTATGCAAAGAATATTAAATGGAGCAAAGTGCACCTAAAAAGGGCATCGTTGTGAAACCAATGGTCAATTGAGAGTTAAATTCAAGATGTCAAATCGATCTGCAATCACACATGGATTTAAGTTCATAATGATGTATCAGGATAATTTGATAAAGTTTCAGTTCATAACGATGTATCAATGCAAGTTCATAATGATGTATCAGGATTATTTGATGAAGTTTGTCCTTTTGTTTTCATTTATTTTGAAAATTCAGTTTCCTAGCTATATTGCATTCAAATAATGGTTGGGAATTTAGTAATCAAGTCATATTGGAACTATGCGCTTTGTTGAAAAGATGTTAAAATAGTTCATGGAAAGTCTTGTCGTACTTAAACACAAGGCTGAGTTGAAAGAACAGTTCAGGATATACAGAATATGTTAAATGCATGGATGAACAATAACAATGTAAATAAATGGTCAAATGGTGTGCCCCTTGTTCAATTTGCCTAGAACACTACATCCCAAGAAGGAATACGCCAAAGTCCTTATGAAGCTGTATTTGGCATTTAACCAGAAAGAGGCATAGTCTTCTTTGCCTGGTGAACAAATCAAAAATTTTGAAACGGAAGAACGGCCTTGAAGAAATCATTAATACTTTTGAAGAAAATCTGAACAGTAGCCATACCCAAAACCATATTCCAGTGGAAAATGTTGAAGGGGAGATGCAGCCTACCATGTCTTCATATCATACATGCTGTCATTGCAAAAAGAAGTGTTTCCTGACTAAATGTAGCTGTAAAAGCAGAGGACTCTTGTGCAATTCAAAGAGTCATAACAGTTTTAAGTATTTGCAATTGATTTTAACCCTTTGTGACGCACTACACTTTAAATTCGGTATTTCAACAAGAAAAGTTGTATGCAGTCTATCTAGACCTAAAGGAGTATACAGATAAAATTTTGTAAAAATTGCACTTACCGTTTCAATTCTGTGGGTGTTCCATGAGATGGAACACTGCGCCACCAGAACTCTTAAAAGTGTGACTAAGCGAGCATTGCAGTGAAGCATGGAAATGAGTAGTAAACATGGGTGTATGCAAAGTCAAACGTTGCAAATGTCACAGGAATAGAATATCAGCAAATTTGACTCATTTAGCATTTGTGTATCTTGTACGGTCAGATAGCACTTTCGTTTTGCCATTAAAAAATAGAACACCAGCAATAGAACATAAAAAAAAAGAAAGAAAAAAAAAACTTTCGCTAAGCCATACAAAATATATTTGTCTCAATGCCGGAAAAATCTAAGAGTAATTAAAAAGTCTCTAATGATAGAACATCTACTCCACTATATGGGGATAAAAAATAAAAAGAAATTAAATTAAAAAGTATTCCAGAGCATCGAGAACATGTTCATTTGTATATATGAAATGATAAGTAAGAGCCATCACGTTACTCAACACTAACAAATTAGCATTTGTTTATATTCTACGTTCAAAATACCTATATCGCAAAAATAAAAATAAAAAGTACCTCAAAGCATCAAGAACACGTGCATTTATTTATATCAAATGACGCAGTTAAAGAGAGATTACATTGCTCAACACCCACTCACGAATCTCCCTCTCATTCCGAAACAAAATACCAAAAATAACATTACGTAGGAATGAAGGTACACATACTTAACTTTCGATATATTTCCCCATAGCAGACAAGCAGCTACATCTAGTGGCAACAAAAAATACTAATTAAACGTTCTATCTAAAAAGTCAAATGTGGTGCACACGGCCATAGAATGAATTAAAATGGCAATTCAAATATGGCACACCCAGCCGTGAGGTAATGTTCGCTGCTGATGCACATATGACACACCCGTACTGAATGGTTTAAAATGTGTTTCAGCTTTAGAACATAAACATGAACAAGAGATGAAGTTCTATTTCTATTTGTAGTACTAAGCACTTTCTATTTGTTTGATTACTAAGCACATGGAGCATCAGCTTCAGTGACCAGATCATTCATCTGTTTTCTATTAGTAAAATAGCCATTGGCACACAGGTGGCAACAAATTGCACAAATTAGCTTAGTTTCTCGATATACCCATACCAACAGTGATATATACCTCCTAGATGATTCACTATGTGTTGGGAAAGAACAAAAATAGGTTTAAATAGTTCAAATCAAGTGGTTTAATGGTATTTTAAAATTATTCTAAATGTCTAAATATAGAGTTAGATATGAAAAATCCTCTCTAAAGCGGTAGTTCACAATTCCATATCTTCTAAGCCTTCTGTGGATGTTGTCATCTTCAAGCAGAATCATTTAATATCTGTCTTTATTTATGTTTTCGAAAATACTTTTCGCCCTAGCAAGATAATTGCCAAGAGGATTGCTTCACTGTAATTATATATTCTTTCTGAAAAATCTATGAAATTTATAAAATTCATGTTAAATTTCTTGAATAATGGCAAGATTGTTCAAGAATTTTTTAAATATTTTAGCACAAAATCTGCATTGTGAAGCATCGCAGGATCGTGGGAGGATGTGTGTCCAGATACTTTAATAAATGCTTGGCATAATTTATGGCCAGCTACCTTATTTCATGGTGAGGATGATGAAGATGATAGCCGCGAGTTTGAAGGTTTTCGGATATTGGAAACCAAAGGTGAAATTTTCAAATTAATAGATTTTTTAAAGAAATGTGTTGAAGCGGTAATAAATGAAGCTAATATAGCAGAAGTTTTTCATTGTGATGACAGTACCCCAAACATCAATCAATTAGCGAACAGTGAAATCTGTAGTATGGTTCTAGATTCAGAAAATACTTCTACCCATAGTGAAGAAAGAGACAGAAAGGTTATTGAAAATGAAAAAAATTCGATTGAGCAGTTAGTTGGAATTCTCGGCAAAGCAATTCCAGGACTAAATTGGAACTTTGTAACTGAGCAAAAAATTATGTCTGTCTAAAGAATTAAAGAGAAAGTATTAGCACAAAAATCGAAGCAACTTATATTGAAAGAAATGTTTAATAAAGTAAGCAAATAAATATTAAGCATCTTTTTTGTAAATTTTGACACATTTTAGATCATAAATGCTTCATTATTTCATAAATCATGATTTCATATTTTTAATTTCTACATGCCATTTTACTAGATTTAGACTGGTGATCTAATATCCAGAAAAATCTCGAATCTGGGATCGCTGAAGTCCCGATGAACCCAGATCTCGGACTTTGTACTGTATTTCGATATGTTAATATAACATTTTTTCACATCCCTTGCCTCCCCTCCCCAAAGCAACCTAGAAATATCGATTCTTATATTTTTATTATTTGCTTCTGTGAAATTTCCAGTTTGATTTATTTGTAATTAGCATAACATTGTATGAACAAAAATGTTTTTTTTTTTTTTTTTTTTTTTTTTTTTTTTTTTTTTTTTTGTTTTTTAATATTCATAATTATTTGTGGCTAACTTGGTAATAATTTATGTTTGTTTTTTCATTTTCATCAGATCTTAAAAAGCATCATTTATTTAGAATATGTGTAAATATTGTTAACAGGTTTTATATAATCATATTTCTATTTTAAAATAGCATGTGATCATTGAAATGAAATCTTTTAAGTACTTATGTGAAATTTTGTTATTCCAGGTTTATTCTGATCAAGTATCCCATCTTGAGTGGGAAACTATTCGTGTTAAAATGATTAAAGCAGGCACACTTGAAAAACTTGTAGAGAGTCTTACTACTGATTCTGGAGAACTTGAATCGACTTACATGAATATTTTCTTGTCAACATACAGGTCCTTTGCATCTCCAAATCAAGTATTATCGATTTTGCTAAACAGGTAAAATACTTTTCTAATACATAATTCATATGATGAATAATAATGAATAATAAATTTTCAGTATTTTAATAATGTTATGATAGTAGTCCAAAAATGGATTTTTTTCTGTATATACATTAATTTTTATTAGTAATATTTTAGAAAATATCAAATTACTGTATTGAAATATGTATGTTTTTGTATTTTTAACAAATTCGCTTGTAATTTTTTCCCTCTAAATTACTAGGTGTGATAAATGTTATCCTTAAGTATTAAATTTTTTGCATTTGCAAAATATTTATTTTATGAATCATTGAAGAAAATTTACGTAACTGCTCTTGAAAAATGTTAGCTTTTTTTGTTTGCAAATTTAAGCCTTGTGAAATAATATTGCATTAAGCTGTTGAATTGGTTGAAGTGGCATTTACAGTTTTCTATTAATAAGCACGCAACTACTTATGTTCAGGGATTTCCATAAATTGTATGAGTTTTCTATATACAGTCAAAAGTCGTTAATCCGGACTCGTCGGGACTTTGGCGATTCCGGATTATCGATTTTTCCGGATTATAGATCATCAGTTTAAATCTGGTAAGATGGCATGCATAAATTATAAAATTAAAAATATGAAACCATAATTTATGAAATAAAGAACAATTATGATCTAAAGGGTAGCAAAATTTACAAAAAAAAGCTTAATATTTATTTGTTTACTTTATACAGTTGTATACAGTTGTGGTAAGTTACCATGATACAGGCAAGTAGACATGTTTATTTTTCAAGAAAGCCCTGTAATTGTCCCAGTTAAGAAATGGAATGCCACTACAGTACAAAGTCCGTAAACCGCACTCGTCGGGTCTTCAGCGATTCCGGATTAGGGTTTTTTCTAGATTATAGATCATCAATTTAAATCTGGTAAGATGACATGCAGAAATTATACAATTAAAAATATGAAACAGTAATTTATGAAATAAAGAGCAATTATGATCTAAAGGGTATCAAAATTTGCAAAAAAACAAGACCAAAAAAAAAGCTTAATATATGTTTAAAAATATACCTGTATCGGTTAACAAGCTGCAGATGAAATTTAGTGAATGAAGTGCATTATTAAATCTCTCAAATTTTAAAATTCATTTTCTCAGTATAATTTTACAAACATATTTAATTAAGAGTTAATTTTTTTAAACTTTTTCTTAGAATCTTTAAATCGAAGCAAGTTTAGAAGTGGACAAAGATTGTTTACAGAATCAACATGAATAAACATTAAACATAGAATGCTAAATCATCTCTAAAAAATTAAAAGTGAAACTCTCAGGGGATCTTGTATGCTAGTGGTTCATTCCATGGATCTAGATCACCATCACATGAGGTGATGATGGTGATCTAGGTCCACTGAAATTGGTCTAGCTTCAATGAAACTGGCCACGTTTTCTAATGAACATTTATATTGGACATCAATAAAGGTAATCTCTGCAAATTTTTGTGTTATAATGTGTAATGGTTCAGAAGTTGGGATTTGAAAGGTTACAATGATGAAAACAGTGCAGAAATTATTTACTCTAAAAAATTTCCTGTTTCGCAAATTTGAGGAATCGAATGTCTCATCTTTTGTGAAAGTCAGACATTTTTATGAAAGTTTCTTTTCTAGATACATAAATGGCAGGTGTTTGATTTGTTTGTTTACTGCAGTAGGTGCTGCTCAATGTGACCACATGTGGCCCTGGCTGTTTTGATAACATTAAACAATGAAAAAATATCTTTAAAAACAGCAATGGAATTTATCAGGAAACATATAAGTAGATATTTTCACAGCATTTTAATAAAAAAAATACAGAAGTTTATAAAATGTTCATAATGTTTCTGAAATTATTTGCCCAGTGCTGTGCACCTGATATTACAAATGTATTCCTCAATGGAAGAGAACATACCAATGTAAAATTTTAAGCAAAAAAGCAATCGTAGTATGCCAAAGGAATTTTTTTCCCAAAGAAAAAAGTTCTGTAGAATTTTTCTGCCCCTGAAGAAGAAAAACTTGTGTCTATCATCTTCAAAATAGATAAGAGTTATTCAGACTGTATGTCAAACTAAGCTTGCTTTTTTGCATAATTTTAAATGATTGATTGATTGATTGAAATCGATGCCAAGCTGTTTGGCAACTTAGCACCTCACTTGGCAACATTTCTCTGTTACGTGGCAATTTTTATAGTATATTTTGACATTATTTGGCGAATTAAAAAATATTGTATAATTGTTTGAGCATATTAACAAAGTTGTTGATCGCTAATAAGTGATGTATTTTCTATGTTTTCGTATACAAACAGGTGGTCCTTTGGTAAATCGATAAATCCAAATGATAATATTAACTGCGACTGCATGTGACTGACTGGCTATAATGTAATCACTTTTTAATATTATAAAACCAAATTTAAAAGTTAAACACTCTCTTCTGTCTCTTTTTCATAACATGGAAAATATTTTTCTGAAATCACTGTGTATTCTGTGAATTGTGTTAACAGTTCAAGAAGGTATGTTTGTGTTTTTAAGCAATGTTTTTAACTGTAAATGTTTTTATTTATTATGTTAGGTATGAGCAGATGCATGGTGAGAATCTTGGGTTGATTGCTGAAACTAAAGAACAACATAAAAGGTAAATTATTGTAGTGTTTGGAATTTAAATTATATTCCATTTTTTAAACATATTTTTGCCCTATTTTTTATAAGTGTTTGCTGTTTTTATGCTGTTATAATCCATAATGCATCAGGTAGATGAATAATAGAGTACCTGCTTTTGCTATAGGGTTGTAGTGCTCTTGATCTGCTTTTTGGGGTATTTAGAGTGCTGGTCATTTAAAGCATTTATCTTTCTTCTCTTTCTGTTCTGTTAAATAGAAAATTTTACATTAATTTAATTGCATTGTGTTAAATAGAAAATCATTTACAAGTGCAAGGTCTCATAGTAAAACAAACAAAAATGTATGCAAATACCTTTTTTTTTTACCTGTTTACTTCTATCTGCATTTTTTTTTTCCTTTTTTTTTTTTTTTTTTTTTTATCACAAAGAGACCATAGAAATCAAGTCCTGTTCTAGCAGAACTCTGGATATGGTCACTCTCTCAGCTAGTAAAGCAGCCATCTGTTGCTGTGCAAACATAGAATTCACCTTTTTACAAATTATACTATTAAATATAATTTTTTGTAATTGCATTTCTTGCGAAATAATCCAAAATGGTTTCTTTATATGTGAATAGTATTTTTTCATCACCTGCATGAAAATAAAGAACATGGAAGTGATTAATCACAATTACCGTAAAATTATGTTTGGTTGGTAGGCCATAAGATGTTCCCCCCCCCATTTCATTCAAGTGACTGTTTAACTTAAGTCTGTTGTTTAACTTTCACTTAAGTCTGTTACCCACTGAGTATTCCATCATGATCCAAAAATTAAAACAAATTGAATTGTTTACTACAACTTGGAATAGGAACACCCTTTTGTAAGCACTAGATTTCTGTCATGAATGAAGTCCTTTGAACATTTCTCACGAGGCACAATAAAACACTAGGAAGTCCTCTGGTTGTCAATGTTCCGCTGGTAGGATGTAGTGGATGCCTGGTGTTATGCGAGATTCTTTTGCACCAGGCCTCTACTCTTAGTAATTTGTGTAAGATGAAAGTTCATTGATCTAAAGATTCATGCATTCAAAATTTAGAACACATTCACAATGCATAGCACTATTTTCAGTCATACCATTAAGTTTTAAACTTTTGCATTTATACAACATTTTCACTTTTAACATATCAATGTACTTCTTAAATTTTAAGGGAACAGTTCACATTTACATAAGAAAACATTAACGTCTCATTAATTTTAAATATTTCAAAACATACAATAGTAACAAAAATGTTTTTGTTAATTTTCTTGTCTTCAAAGTAAGTGCTCTTTTCTTTTACATTTAAATACTACATTTCAATACAAGTCCTCTATACAAGTCCTCAGACTAAAATGTCTGTTCTTAACAGAATACTTCAACAAAACTTTGTACAATACTTTTACAATTTTCTTTAAGAACTTTTACAATGCTGTTACAAAGCTTTTACAATACTCAAGTACTTATACATTACTATTGCACAATAATTTTAGATTACTTGTGAGTAATTGAAAAACATAGTAAAAAATAATAGGTAAAACCCATTTCTCACTTGTTTGGCGATAAATTAGACCTCACATGAGGTAAAATTTCCCATTAAATTCTGCCACTTGCAGTAAAGAATGAAAAATTAGCTTGGCAAAGTAACTTACATTTTGCTGGATTTACGGTTTAATCATGCTTCCTTCAATAATGAAAAAACTTCGTGAAGGTCTTTTTGTATGTTCGTCAATAGTATTGCTTGTTATGATGATATCATCTATATAAATTAAAGTGGATTTCCTGAGAACAGGGCATAAAATAATATCCATGGTGCGTTGAAAAGTTGAGGGTGCCCCGCATAGTCCTTAAGGCATATGTAAAAAACACATAACTGCCTGTTTTAGTAATAAAAGCAATTTTATTTACGTCTTCCAGTTTCATGGTTATTTGAAAATATCCTGAAGTAAGATCGAGAGTAGTCATAAATTTTGTAGATTTTATTTTCCTAATAATCTCCTCAATCACGTGTAAAGGGTAAACCGGAAATTTAGTTAAACTATTAAGTTTTGTATAATCTATAGCAAAGCGATATGCTTGGGATCTGTAGGGGATAAATTGTTCTTTTTCCTGCAGAGCACAGCAGGTCTCGAATATTCACTATTTATGGGAGTTATAATTTTATTTTTTAACATCTCTTGTATGTGTTGTTCAGTGATGGCCTCTTTCTCGTTATCATACCTGTACGGTTTCATTTTACAAGTTTCAGTTGATTTTCATTCAGTAGAATGAGTGTTCCAATCTGGATGTTCCATGGTTTATCAGAAAATAATGAAGAAAATCTACATACAATTTCTTGCAGCTTGACTCTTTCATCTTGCTTTAAAGGCTAAAGATCGATCTCTGGAATTTTTTCAGCAGCTTCCACCACCCTTGGCTCCATATCCAACATAATTGATTTACTTGAAAAATCAGCTCTTGCATTTGCGGCCCTAAGGAATTGAGTTCCCAGAATGTCATTCACCATGAAAAACAGGATTTTTAGATTTTCTTCTTTAACCTGCACGTTAAGCAACAGTTTCCTGATACACTCGCACACTTTCCCTTGAGCGGTTATTATTTCCATCATGTTATTTTTAAATAATCTTACTTTTCTAAAATATCTGTAATGAAAATTTTGATATAGGTAGTTCCTCTCTGCTCCAGTATCCACGAGTGCTTCTACGGGAATAAATATTATTTAAAAGAACCTGTATTACAGGTAATTGGGAATTTTTCATGACCACAATATTTAAATACATTTTAGAAGGATTTTTTGATGCCAAGAGGTCTGAACCCTCAAATTCTCAGGCCTCCCCTATTCGTTTAAAAGGTGTTTTTACTCCTGATGTTTTCTGGGTACGCTGACAGGTTTTGACTTCATCCGTACCTTTTTTTGCTTGATGATGGCTTAGCTGAAAACTGTTTTCCTCCATTGCTTTTATTTCTTTCTGAGGCTGGCTGTCTGAAGAACTGCTGACTAAATCTCTGTGCTGGAAATCTTGATTCTTCTGCTATCTGCTGATTCTGAAACTATGGCTAATTTGAATATTTCTTGCAGCGTTCGAGGATTTCGGAGTTCCATGAAGTTCTGAATGGAGGGTAATATTCTTGGCAGTATGATTTCGATAATTTCACTGTTGGGTTTTTCTATTATATAGCATGTTCACAAACTTGACTTTTCGTAGGATAAATTCGGTTAGTTCTTCAATTCTCCGTTGGTAAAAGCTATATAATTTGGCTTCAAGCTTGGCACGATCTTTAACGCTTTTAGGAGTGCCCGTTTGAAATTTTTGAATGTATAGGTGAATGTATAACTTCGCCAAGTAGAAATTTACCAATTCCTTTCCACCAAGCCCCTGCCTGTCCTCAGAGGGCACTCAAGGCAATCCATTGGGTCTGCCACTTCTGAACCTTGTGGAGATATTTCTTTGTTGGCCATTTTCTTGTTGGTTCGTATTAATTCAGGCGTCAATGTAGAGTCCAGGTGGGTTAACTTCTATCTGTAGACTGGAGTAGCAGGAAACTACACAGGAGAAGGGTTTACGTACCCTTTATTAACCCTTTAAAATTTACAATTTACCTAACAAACTTTGCCTCTTCTTGGGCATTAACTGAAAGTCAGATAATTGAAATTAAAATTGAAAAGTAATTGAAAAGTTGAAATGTTTAACAAGTGATAAACTAGCTTACAGGGTTCAGTGAGATCCCGAACTTCAAACCCTTCTAAGCTAGTGGCTGCAAAGCAATACAATTAATCCACTTGTACCAGCAATGAGCAAATGTACCTACAGCAGAGACGGCAGGTACAGCCTAACTCTCCCTTTCTCATACCGAAACTCGACTTTTAACTACTCCTTCCAAATAGAAAATTTGCATTCATTCATGCGCGGTACAACATTTAACTATTCTGGCACCGACAATGAGGGGAATGAAGGCTTATAGGAAAGTTTCAAATAAAACTTTTAAAATATTAGTTAAAATAAATATAAATCCCTGCACAGTAAAGTTTTAAAACAAAGTAAATGTTAGTAAAACTTAAGTTCCTTATAATATTACTGACCTGAGATATTATTAAGGTTGTATACAACTTCAAGCTTAAAGAGCAGCAAATCTAGAATCGATTGACATGGTGAAAAAAAGAGCTTGTGTGGTGAAAGATGGAAGGACTGAGGAAAAATGCAGTGAATGCAAATGGTGCATAGTGTCAAAGACATCTATGAGGTATTTTTAAGAAATAAATAATTGAATTCATTATGAATTGATTACGAGAATTACACTGAAGAGCCAAAACTTTATGACCACGTACTTAAAAACACGTTGCCCAACATTTGGACTGAAAAACAGCTGCAACGCGCCTTGCCATAGATGCCACAAGTTCTTGGTAGACTGGAGACAGGTTGTACCAAATGTCTTAGCAGCGGTCATGCTAAAGTCTAGATATTCTGACATGGTGGTGTTTATGCTGTGAGCTGCCACTGCATGACTTCCCAAATATTCTTGTAGCTGTTGCTACATCACAAAAACACTATTTATATGTTTAAGAATAACTTTTCACTGCTGTATTTTAACAAAAAATGTTTATTACTTTTAAGACATAGATCTTTTAAAAAGATTATTATTCTAAAACATATTATTATTATTATTACTGTTGCCATTCCAGTCTACATAAAGTAGAAACAAAACGATTACATATAATTTGTAGAGGTTACTCTACTTCTCTTCCAAGGAACATAGTTGCTATACAAGGAGAAAAATAGTTGTTATTCTCACCTGAATACCTACATTGCAGTAAGCTTCATGAATACTTTTCACAAAATATGTATAAGTATTAAATCAAAAATAAATATACGACATTAAATGGTCACGTAATTTTGATAACATGCTGTCAAAGGAATTCTTCTCTCACTATGTGTTGTTTTAAATTTTTAATCTTCTGTCTTTCAATTTTCATGTCTGTTTAATGGTGTGATTTGTTTCTCCT